TCAGTTTTTCCTTCAATGACTTTACTTCTTTCTTCAGTGTTGTACTTTGCTATTGGTCCATTAATATACAGAACTAGAGTAGCACTGAATAGTCATCACATACTTCATTAAAAGTAGTAACCTCCTCTTTACTATTAATCAGTTGTACACTCAATGACAGCATCAATTGTTTCATTAAACCGCTACTAGTTGATAATGATGAGGTACGCTGATGTTCATCTACAATGTACATGTATATATGCAAAATACATATTAGATTAATAAAAAAACAACTTACATAATTCTATCGTAGCAGAAGGGGAAGTGTCATCAATTTCTAGTACCTAATGTGCAATAAAAAATCAGTTCATAAAATGTACAGTCTGGCTGTCTATTTACCTCATACACAGTACAGTATCCAATGGTTAATCTCTTCACTTTATTTTCTTTCAATACATCAATATTATTAAGAGCAGCTGTAATTAACTGCTCAGATAGAATCAAAGGGAAAGAACAAGTGATAGTGAAGGAATTACCATCTCTAACAACATTCAATTTGACATGCGGTGACAACTTTTTGAAGATACTTTTTGACAATTTCTTGATATCTTTTATTGTCCTATCTGCAACATCTTCATCAACAACAATGGTAATCCTCTCGCAAGGAAGTGCTGAAGTATATGAAAACCTTTCGTGCAAGCATTGACTGAGTTTTGTTTCACTAAATTCTGTTATTGCTTCATTATATTCCTGAATGACACCTTTAGCTTTTTGTATATTTAGCTCGGTTACAAAAAACTCCAACATACTAATATCATTCAGGGAACTTTTATCTCTGATTAACTTTAAAATGCTATTAATGCTTTGACACTGAGCTATTTGACATTCTAAATCTTCCAAAGAATAACTCAAAATATTTTTGATATCTTCATGTGCTGGAGACTTTTCCTTGATGCATTTCTCTACCTTCAAAAAAGTTTGACCAAATTTTAACCTCATGGTAGTAAACTGTGCTGTCATACTCTGAGGAAGGTAAATCTTTAGCCCTTCATATATATTTAAGTTTTAAAAACCATAATATCATTTATACACTTACCATCATCATCATTCATTACTACTAAATCATCACTGCAAAAAACTTCACCTATAAAAAATAATAGAGGATATGCGTGCTAAGTATATTCATAGCTTTTAAGTACCGTATATCCAACCCACACAGTAAATTGGCCGCCATGTTGGACGTCAAGTTTATTAAGAGTTCAATGGGGGAAAACACATTTTCTTGCCTTGCTACCTTCTTGAGGCCTTTTTTGGAAGCTTAGAAAGCATCCTGAGGATCTAATGGGGTCTAGTAGTCACCTGAAAGATTGCTATCAAGAAATACAGAGCGGTTTCCTGGTACCAAGCCTTTTTCTATCATTTCTCCATTGCTGCCAATGGAAAGTTGACGTCCAACGAACTAATTTTTTTTCTTGAAAGTTATTACGGTATGCAATGAATACATTTATTTTGCAATGAATATACTTAGCACGCATATCCTCTATTGACTTGCCTATGCATAACAGAACAATTTGCTTACTGTATTCCTTCAAAAGGGAG